TTCATAAAGTTGTCATAAGGATTAAGATATATTATGCAATTATTTGCAGATATTAAGTTCTTAGTAAATGGTAATTATTACTAATAATACATCTACCACCTAGCCAAGTAGTTGTATGATGCAAAAGAAATACAAAAGATTAATGGTTGGAAGATTAATGGTTACTTAGGGCTTGATGAAATGTAAACGTGGAGACTGACAGCTAAAGGGTATGGAGCTTCTTACTTTTTAAATAAGGTTATTTTTATAGCAGTTTTAGGCTCACAGCAAAGCTAAACATAAAGTACAGAGTTCCCATATATGCCCTTATCTGACACAAACACAGCCTCCCCTACTATCAACATCCCTCCCATCAGAGTGTTACATTTGTTACAAGATATAAATCTTCATTGACACATCATCACCCAAAGTCCACACTTTGCATTAGGGTTCACTCGTGCTGTTTTTCATTGTTATAATTTGGATCTTAAAGGACTCCCAAAGACCCATATTGCTATATAGGTTTGGTTACCAACCTATCATGTTATTAGGAGGTAGAAAACTTTTAGGAGATGGAAAGAAGCTAGGTCAGAAGGAGTATGGTCTTGAAGAAGATATTGGAACCACAGTCCATTCCATTCCACTCCCTCTTTGCTTCCTTACCACCATGAAGTGAGCAGATTCATTTGCCATGGTGTACTGTCTTGCCACGGGCAACAGGACGAAATGATCATGTACTGAAAACTATGAAACTGTGAGCCAAAATAAATCTTTTATTCTCATAAATTGATTTTTTTTCAGGTATTTCTGTCACAGTCAAAGCTAACACAGAAAATTGATACTAAGAAGTGGGGTCATTGGTGTTAACTATACCTGATTATGTGGTTCAGAAGCCTTTGGAGTTGGTCTGCAGGAAGAGTCTAGAAAGTCTGGAGAAGCAGGAAACAGAAAGCTTAAAATGCTGTAAACTGAGCTTAACTGGTAATTCTGGTGAATGCTCATAAGACCATAATGCCAACAGAAAGGTAGACAGTGAAGGCCAGGTTCACAGGTTTCAGATGGAAATGAGGACTGTACTGCGAATTGGACTGAAAGGTCATTTATGTTACATTTTGATAAGGAACTGGTCTACATGTTGTCCGTGCCCTGAGACTTTGTAGAAGACCCAGTTTAAAAGTTATGGACTAATTAATCTGGCAGAAGTTTTAAAGCAGCACAGCACTGCAGACTGTGCCATGGGTATTACTGGCTGCTTTTAGCCAAATACATATTTAGAATTGGGAGTAGAAGATAGAGCAGAAAGATTTGAAAAACTTGAAGTTTGGCCAGAAAAGTGTGTTTAAAACTGCGGGGAGATTTAGTATCATTAAAAAGCAGCCAAATAATTTACATAGCAAAGATGCCTGGAGGGCATCTCAGAAATCAGCAGGAACTAAACCATCACAGGCTCAAAGGTGTAAAAGCATAAACCTTTAACCTGAGAAGT